CAATTTGCATGAATTCCTTTTTTTTTTCTAAATTTCTTTAAAATTTTTCTACACATTAGAAAATTAAGCAATTTAGGAGTAAAAATTAATTATCTCAGTAAGAACATAGCAAAATCCATAAAATTAAGCACTAAAATAACTCTATTTTATAGAGCTATCAAACCCCCAAACTTTGAATTTTTGCTTGTCCTCGAGCAAAATAAAACTAGCTAGATTAGAAAAACATGCTAGAGATCAAAAGTACATAAACTCCCAATATTAGATTCTCATAAGTTCCCTCAAAAATTGCATGATGAATATAACTTGAACAAAATCATAAGCATATATTAACATAAGAATTATTCAGGAACAAGCTTCCCTTCAATTACAAATTTTGTGTGTGTGTGAATATCTATCTCATATTAATGCAAGATATTCAATTAAGGTTAGGCAAACATGAAATAAACACATCATCTCAAAGAATGCACAAATTTCATAAGTTTGCTTTGTACATACTCTCTCTACTAATGTAGCTACACTAACCAAAGATCAATAGGTCTTTATTAAGCTTGTAATGCCAGGCTAGGGTTAAGGTATGATAAAGGAAATTTAAGCTCATAAAACCCAAACATACATTACTTGGGATCTAAACTTTTATGAGAGAGCTTTCAAAAATTGTAATGCCCACAAACTTAAATTCTTCTTTCTCCCTTTTTTTTTTCAACTCAAATAGCAACTTCTTATTAATTTACATGTGTACTTGTTGTTTTCATATGTCCACCATTGTTTTTCTCTTTTTGCATTTTGTTTTTGTTTTTCTTTGTTTTGCTTTAAACATAATTTGCATAATCTTTTCTTTCCAAACTAAAACTCTATCCTTCCTCCCAATGTAACATAGCTCTCATATTGATTTTTAATTGATCCATATGCACATAGGGTAAGGTAGAAAGATAAAGATATTAAATCAAAGGGTAGCTAATTCATGTAGGTAAAAAACAAAGAAAGGATATATATATATATATATATATATATATATATATAAGACTCAAAAGGGGTGAATAGGGATAAGCATACATAAGGTTAGCTTGAAAAGCTTAAACGATCCAAAAATGGCCTAAACATAATTCCCATATCAGTTTGAACTTCTTGAAATAAATAGAATTCAATTCTGTTTTAAACTATCTTGAACTTACAATAGGACTCCTTTCCATCTTTGACATCTTTCATGCAATTCTGGAATAACATGATTTTATTAAAACAAGAGACAATTTGGTTTCTATCTCTTCCAACTTAGCTTACAAAATTGTCTTTAAAATCTGCCTATTTGTGCACCATAAACAGCCCTGAGTTTTCCAAGTTGTAGCTTCCAATTCCTCGTCATTTATCATACATTGATCTCCAATAAATTTCCACTCATCTACCATGTCATCTCATGAAATTTCATGCATGTGCACCTAAATAAATATCATGGAATTTGCATGAAAATTTTCACAATGCAAGCTACCAAAATTGAGAAACTAAAATGGTCAAACTTGTCATCTTCAATTTAGCTCCAATCATCTTACAAATATCTTTAATTGATATTCTAAATTCAAGTCTTCATAAATTCAGTCATTTTTAGCACCAAAATCAATTAATTTGCATTGAATTTCATTTTTTTTCTAAATTTCTCAAAATTTTCCTACACATGAGAAAATCAAGTAATTTAGGAGTAAAAATTAAATTATCTCACTAAAAACATAGCAAAATTCATACAATTAAGCACTAAAAATAACTCTATTTTATGGAGTATCAAGTGTTGATATATGCAGCTTTCATTAGCATTTTCTCAATAGAGATATCCAGGAACCCTTCAGTGGTGATAGACAAATACATCTTCATTCGCTAGCAATGATATCCGAGTATTCACGTTTAAACATCATTAAAATTTTCTCGGTGAAAACT